AGAGCCTTGGGTGATGTGGTTTAGTGTGAGGCGTCCCTGCCCGTATGTGTGCCTGTACACTGGGGGAAGCAGGCTTACTTACTGCCTTAAGACTGAGTACAGAGGAACAGTTACCCCTTTTCAGAAGAGGAAGTTCAAAGGTACCAGAACTTACAGCTTTTTTTTTTTTAATTTGGCACCTAAGCATGTCCTTCTAAACTGTTCTGCTCTAAAAAGCCTCTGAAGCAGCACTAGCTTGTCCTATACAGTGGCGTTTATAAAGACGTGTGAAACTTCCCATCCACCTTGCAATTTTATTTAGGCCTGTGTGAAAAACACTGGTTAGTCAGCTAACCACAGCTTACAGACAGTTTCAAATGAGAGTGCTTGAGAGAGTAGTAGTTGAGTTTAATGGTAAGAAAAATAAATCAGCTTATTACCAGAATCAGGAGCTCAGTTTTACTTCCCTGACATGAGTTAAGAGTCCTGTCCTGACACAACTCATATCTCAGTTTGTTCACCATGCTAGGCAGTTTGCTGAGGTCAGGAGGATGATCACTTCCCTAGTACTGCTGACTATGCTATTTCCAATGTGAGCCAGGTTGCCGTTTGCCTTCTTGGTGCATGCTTACCATCTCTGAAGTCTGCAGCTGTCATTGGCAGGTTAATATTAAATCACTGTGTCCACCTTCCTTCCCCTGACAGTCAGTACTAACTGCTTCTTAAGCTCTATCTTGGCAACATAGCAGAAAAGCAGGCTAGAAAAACCAAAACCAGAAGAAGGTAACATCTGTGGCCTCATGCAACCACAGTCAGGGCTATGTAGATTTCTCTGCCTGTTCATCTGAGCAGGTAATGCTGTAAAATCTTAAGCATGTGGCAGGTCAGCAAAAATCAACTGTTTGATAACTCATCTATTTATCCTTTGCATTTGGTAAAGCTTCAAAGAACTTTGTCCAAATCAACCCATCTCACCCACGCAGGTGCTTTACTCTCCATCCCTCAATACATTTTTATAGTCTTTTCCTCAGGCTGGTCTAAGTCCAAATGATGACAGTATTTATAGAGGCAACTTCCAATGCTTTCAGCTGAATATAAAGTTTTTAAATTAGATACGAGTCATGCATTAATAGACATGGATGCAGTTCAAGAGTTGAAATCTTCTAACAGAAGTGTGATGTGCAGGTTCAAGAATTACTAAAATAACCAGATATGATGATGAAAAAGTAATCCCTGCTTACACAATATTCTTCCCCATCAACAGAGGTATTGAAGTATCATCTTGGTTATCAGCAATGACTGTGATGATAAATTTGTTATGAAAGGCTGAAGGACAAATTGTAAGGAGCAGGGTTTTTAAGGAACAAAGAAGAGAGAGAAGACAAAAATTTGTCATGGTTGCTTTGAACTCTAGGAAGCTCTGCTGCAACAAGTGCAAGGTGTATTAAGCAGCTTTCCTTCCTGTAAACACTTGTCTTGCAAGAAGGTCAGAGGCCAGACATGAAGGCTGCAAATGACGTACATCTCTTCAACCACCATTATCCGGTTTACTGGCGCCAAGGCTAGGGAGCTCCCATTTGGAAGATGACTCAGAAGTACTAGACCTTCACAGTTTTAAAGTGGTAACTGTACCTAGAATCACCGAGGATTCCAACAGCTTCTTGAACTCATTCTGGTATGGCTTCATGTCTTAACAACACTTTTTCACTGGGTCCATCAGTAAAGGAGTTTCAGTCAGCAGTGATATGCCACCACAAATATGAGAAGGTGCTGCTGTACTTAATGGATTACGGTTCTCCCCTAGTCACCTCAGTCTAGCTTGCTGAGCAAACAAGAAGTTGCAGAGTCTTCCTAAACAACTTACAGAAAGGTCTTCTCTTTTAAATATCATTCGCAGACAAATAATTCCCTATCTGTTTAAATCACAACAGATGGCAGTTCAGCTCTGGACTTATATACAGCTGATGACATCCAAGGGTCAGCTGCTTGACCCAGTGACATTAAAAGCTGCAGCTATAGAGTAGACACACAAACTTAAGAGGCTTTATGTGCTATTTTTGTCAGTACGGGAATTAACAGAAAGGAAATAAGCAAGAAAAGTGCATTCCCAGGCCTAGACACTTCTGCATGTTCATACTTCATAGAATCATAGAATGGTTTGGGTTGGAAAGGACCTTGAAGCTCATCTAGTTCCTAATCCCCTGCCGTGGGCAGGGACACCTTCCACTAGACCCAGGTTGCTCAAAGCACCATCCAACCTGGTCTTGAACACTGCCAGGGATGGGACAAAACTAATACAAATATCTTGTATATGGATCAAATATGAAACCTTACATGGGACATAAGACCTTAGAGGGTTTGAATCCTGCTATGTGGCTATCCTACTATCCGTACTATGTGGCTGAGTCTCCATGATGCATATCTTATCATTTGAGCCTCCTAATTTTGCTTGTAATTCTTCCAACTAACTTTCCTGGATGTGTTCTGGTGGTATTAAATATAATTGAGGGGAGATTTCTAGGAAACCATCTTCATTGTCTCAATTTGCGTTTTATTTGAAAGATTTATCAGCTGCAAACTTACTTTCCTGTCCAGAGGTCAGATATGTTATATATAAAGGAGTACATTTTATCACTTGGTGGAGCTGATATCTTAGCTTCCATTAGCTGTTCTGGACTAAAGCTACCTAGGCTGAGCTGGTTTAGTGGATGTCTGGCACTAGCCCATCCTGGTTTATGCCTTTCTTTGGGCTTGAAATCTTATACAAATGTTTGAAATGCTGGGGAGGAGGAGTATTTTACAAATAGGGCTATACAGAAACTTTTGTAATACATTAACACTGATTATTGTGCAGCAAACTTTAGGGCCCTTGGGCAGAAAATCAAAAGCAGATTTGAGAATTGTTTTTGTGTTAAACTGGTTCAAATACTTGTATACTTCTAAGTGCTGTTTTAATAAGCTTTCACAAGAGGGCAGAGTAGAATTTGCTCTGGGAATTATAGCTGTCTTGAGGCTTGGGTCTATCTAGAAATGAACCAGCTCAGATTCCTTTGGTGTTATGACAGCATGGGTTGTATTATTCATGCTATCCACCTGTATTACAAACTGTCCTGGGCACCATGTGGCTCTTCAGTCCCTGCTCCCCAGCAGGGAAGGACACAGCCTTTCCCAAGTGTCTCTTCCTGGTGGTAGGATGCTGGAGCATGGAGGAGAGGTCTGTAAATGTGCCTCTGCACCACCACTGCCAATGTTTGCCTGTTGGTTGTAGCTAAAACAATCACATAGCTATTGTTAGCCCAAGAATCTTGTAGTTGTTAGCACAAGATAAGGCTGTGGTGCAGATAAGTGAGCTCTTTGTAGTTTGCAAGCATAGTAAGATACTGCTTGAAAGCAGCAGGGTTTCCTTGCAACATCTTGGGGTGTGGTAAAATATGACCAAGAAAGCTACTTGAGAAGGGAATACTGTGTACCTCTAACTTTATGAATCTGCAAGTGTGTTGGCCAGTTCATTTATTACAGTTATTATGGTAATACCCACATTGAAACAGTTTAGAGTCCACAGAGAAAACTAGCTGCCCCTGCCTCCTCTCTATGTTAGAGGACAAACTGAGTTAGTTGGGTTTCTTCCTTGAGCGTCTCAGAAGTACACTTTCAATTCTTTGTTGTGCATTCCAGTACTTCAGGTAAAAGATCTGCTTCTAATCTTTCATCACTCTTCGAAGAGTTTTCTGGCAGGTTATCCTGTACAATTCAGTGCTACCTCAGTTTATAGAAGTGAATTGCCATTTAGCATTATAATATTCTCTGGGAAAGCTTTCATGTTATCTCTTTTTTTTTTTTTTTCCTCTTCCTTCAGATTGACCCCAAAGATTACATGTTTTCTGGACTAAAAGATGAAACTGTGGGCCGACTGCCTGGAAAAGTAGCAGGGCAACAATTCGTCATTCAGGACTGTGAGAACTGTAAGATCTACATATTTGACAATTCTGCTACAATCACTATTGATGACTGTGTAAACTGCCAAATCTTTTTAGGACCAATAAAGGGCAGTGTGTTTTTCCGTGACTGCAAAGACTGTAAATGTATAGTGGCCTGTCAACAGTTTCGCACTCGGGACTGCAGAAAGCTGGACGTATTCTTGTGCTGTGCCACCCAGCCCATTATCGAGTCCTCTACAGGTATGAAATTTGGATGTTTCCAGTACTATTATCCTGAGCTTGCATTACAATTTAAAGATGCTGGACTGAGTATCTTCAATAACACGTGGAGCAACATCCATGACTTTACCCCTGTGTCAGGAGAAAATAACTGGGGTCTTTTGCCTGAGAATGCTGTAGTCCAAGATTATGTTCCTCTGCCCAGCTCTGAGGAACTGAAAGCTGTCAGAATTTCTACCGATGCTACAAGGAGCATAATACCAGTAACTCGAGGGCAGAGACAGAAAAACAGTGATGAATCGTGTTTGGCCGTGTTTTTCGCTGGTGACTACACAACTGCAAATGCCAGGAAGTTAATTGATGAGGTGAGCAACCTTTGTCTTCATTCAGCTGTTTGAATTTCTAATTGAACTTGCCTCTGGTGCTTCCTGAAAGGTGAACGCAGAGGCCCTGCTTTGTCTACTAACCATACTGGTCAACTGCACTGTTTAAAACCTCAAAGTGAGGTAAGAGACTGGATCTGATCTGTTGTTTTACAGATCCTGGGACTGGCACATCTATTCTTTAGTGGTTTCGGTGTTCTTTTCTGTCATGGCACACATGGAAGAAAACGTGTAGTTGATTTGATGAGCTTGGCCAATTATAGAATGAGCAATTGGCAATGCTTCTGAAAGTGATAGAGCCAGTTAACTTCTTAGCTTACTGCCCTGCAAGTCACAGCTAACAAAACAACTTGGCCTGAAAGTTTCTCCAGTATGAACAGAGACTTTAAAGAACCCCAACATGTTAAATTGTATTCCCCCTGCCACCCGGTTTTGGAATTTTTTCCTGGAAGAGGCAGTGAGTGTTTGTCACAGCTGATCAGCTGTCTTCCATTACTTAAATAGCTGGTGCTGCCTCTTTGAGGCAGCAGCTCCAAGCTTGGCAAGATTTGGGGCTTTCCTGGGGCTAAAATCTGGGAGTGGCTGGCTGCTTTTAGCACCCTGGAGTGCCAGGGATGACAGAGCAGAGCCAGTAACCACGAGCTACAGCTTCTGACACAAGAGGTATCTGCAAAAGCTGCTGATCCCAGTGCTGTATGATCAACAAAACAAGGAAAGCAAGTTGTGGGGTGTTTCCATGTGGCCTGTCTGTACCCATCCCGCCCCCCACCCCCCCCAGTTGATTTTTTTTATGGAACTGAGTTACTAACAGCTACTCGAGTTAAGGGAGATAATGAAAATAATGATACTTATGGGTATCTGGAGAAGGAATAGTTATAGTAAAGAGGGTAATAGACGTGTTCTGTGTTAGTAGTTCTTTAGAAATTAGAGTTAAGACAACACTAAAAGCCTAGTTAGTGAGATTCTATGGGAATCTTACAGCTCTGTAGGTTAATGGACACTTTGGAAGTACAAATACAGTTGCTCCTTCTCTGCATGCTTTTAGTTTTGTATCAGATTTGAAGTAAAAAGCTGCATGTGTTCTGAAGTTTGTAACTATTTTTCCAAAATGGAAAACTTCAGCAGTGGATAGATGGGAGTTTGAGCTAACGCTTGACTGAACTGTTGCAGGCTAATGAGAACTAACTGCTTGACTCCAGATGCTGAATGCTTTTAAATTCCATTAGTTTCAGCTTGTGAGGGATTGTGAGGAAAAAAACCACAACCCTGGGCCATAATATAAAACAAAACCATTCGCATTTACTCCTCTAGGTGCACTAGGCCAGAGGAGAAAATCTGGATGAATGGAATGAAAATAAACAGAAATGCAGAAAAAGCAAATGGTTTTCGGAAAAAAAGCAAAAAAGGGTCCCTTTGCTCTGCGGCTTGATGTGTATGGGGGGAAAATGGGTCTATTCCAGTGTAACCTGGATACTCGAGCTGAACTCTCTGCCTTAGAATTATTTTTAACATGAATTCTTTCTCTGTTAACAGATGACTGGTAAAGGCTTTCAGCTGGTACAGACTAAAGAAGTTTCAATGAAGGCAGAGGATGCTCACAGAGTTTTCCAGCAATGTGCACCAGAATTCATTTCACTCCTTGAAAAAGGTGAGTTTGTGTTGTTACCTTTCTCTTGATACAGGTATCTGGCTGTCACTAGAGAGTTCTGGAGAAGAAAGAGGAATGAAGGACAAATTTGTGTTTCAAGGGCATAGTGTAAAGCCAGTTGACATGAGTGTTGGAAGCCTCAGGGAGGTCCTAAACTAGACAAAACTGAAGGCATCCCAAGTGAGCTGTTCCACATGTACTTTGTGGCTCTGCCCCCCCTCTAGCGGTGCAACCGTATAGCTCAGGAGCAGTGGCACATGCAGATCTGTCGGGGGCGGTCAAAAGCAACTCGTGCTTTTAGCTTATTTCTAACTTCTCGCCACTGCTGCTCAATACCCAGATATTCAGTTTTTCCATATACATATTCAAGCAAATAGGTATAGATATGTATAAAGCAGGCAAGTGTTAAATTCCTGGTTTTAACTGGTGTACTGTCAGAGTATCTCAAAAGCCTTTTTATTGATCTGACTGTAATTGGGTTTTGTCTCTTCCTGCAGAAGTACTGACATCTTGCCATCTGTTATATGCGAAAGCTCAATATATGCTCCCAAACTTAGTATCAACGTTCAGGTTTTTTCATAGTAACATAAGAGGCCTGCGATGCTCATTGCAAGAACAGGCCAAAATTTATTGTACTTATCAGATGGCAGTCTAGTTTAAAGGCTATTTTGCACCCGTGTGGGAAGAAATAACGTGTTCAGAATGAAACCAGAGAAAGGGGATCTGCAAATAGTGGGTGAGAACAAGCCTAAAAATCAGGCAGTTTGCTATCTTGGGACTGAGGCAAAAATGCCTGAATGACTCAGTCCTACTCCAGATGTCTGTGAAATGGCTCACTACTTGAGCAGTATAATCTGACTCACTTCCATGATGCCCTGCGCTCCTTCGTGGTTTTGTGCCATTGCTGCCTTTCAAGAAGTAAAACTGGAATTCTGCCAGAATCTCTGCAAAAATGAGCATGGAATTGCAGATATTTTCTTCTCAGATAACACTGTACTTTGAAGCTATGGCTAAGTGTTTTTAATTCTTTATCTTGCATTATGGCTGCTCAAGCAAAAACCATAAAATACCTCTTGCAAGCTTCACAGTTCCCTGTGGGTTGAGAAATCTACTGTTTCAATGCCAAGCTTAAAAGTAGTATTGATTCTAGATGAAACTGTCTTCTAGGTCCAGTGGTTGCTTTGGAGTTTAATGGAGATGGTGCTGTGGAAGGATGTCAAAGCACTGTAAATGATGTTTTCAGTGGGACCAAGGTAAGCTGGTGTATTGCTTTATTGGCAGAAAATGTCACAGAATGTCTAGGATACTTTATGGAAAAGCCATAGCGCTGACAAACGATCTTTTTAGGTTTCTGAATAGTAAACCCTGAATATTCTATTTTTTGTGTGTTTCTGTACTCCAAACTCAAGTTGCTTGTCAGAGACAAGAAAAATTGCCCTTGGAAAGAGAGTACTAAATCCTCATCATGTCAATTGAAGAACAGAAAATTTCCACTTTAAACTGTTATTTCACATAAATAGTAAAAAAAAGTTCTATAAATATAGTAGGGAAAAGCTCTGTTTCAAGTCTTATGCTGAAGTCTGCTTTGTGATGTTGTAGTCCATTAAATCCTGACAAAGATAATATGATGGGATTTCATCCTTTTTCAAGGTTTACTTTTGCAGTGTAGGATATTGCAGAATGCCTTCCTTCAAAGACACCACACCTCCTCTTTGCTTGCTGTCCCCATTTCTCTGAATGGCAATGGTTTTGAGAAAGTTTCTGGAAACGATCAGAGCATTCCTGGTAACAAGAAAGTGACAAATCCTTTGCTTTCAAGCAGCTGTTCAAAGAAGACTAGAATGTCTTTGAGACATAATGTCCATACAGCAACTTGCTGTCTTTTGGTTCTTTTGAAAGAGTTACTAGGAAGTAAGACAGCCCAGTTTCTGGAAAAAGAGTTGTCTTGTAGTAAGTCATCTCAAATGCAGCTGATGTTTTTGCTTTTTTCATGTTTGCTATTGCACCAGCGAAAACCTGATGCATGGCAGGCCTTGATTTGGCTGTCAGTCTGGAGAACACCAGAACTACATTTTGGGCAATTCCACTGACCCAAAAGCTATCACTGCAAATTTTACCATAAAAAATGGCCTCTCTAAAACAGGATCTTACAGTGCTGGGGTGTTTTTTTTATGTCATGTGGTTAGCGTTTCTATACAGAACAAAGCTGATACTAGGCAGGTGACTCACTGGTTCTTCTTGATCTTTTTCTGTATTCAAAGACTGAAGTGATATTGATTACTAGAACAAATAAAATTTCATATTTTCCTTACTGGAAATGTCTGGTGTCTGTTTATAACATTATGATTGTCCTGACCTGAGATGCATCCAGAAACCTCAGCCAGTGTGCTTCATGCTGTGAAGTAAGAATTGTTCTTGGAGGTGATCAGTAGTGTTTAGGTTCGGTTCCAAATATGAAACTACTTACTGCATCTGGATTTAAAACTTCTGTTTACAGTCTGGTTACATAGTAAAATCTACCTCACTTATTAAATACTTGCTGCACTGAATTAAGAAGCAGAACTTTATTTAGATAAAATGTAACTCCAAAACTTCTGATAAAAACTGGGTTTGTGCATGGATCCCTAGATAATGGAATATTTTAAGTATACATTTCTTAGAAAATGTATTTCTTCCTTGGGGCATAATCTAGAAGCAATTTAGGGAGTTATAAACTTCAGACTTACAGCTACCAGAAGGTTCAGGAATGCTCTGTAAAATGGTTTCACTTCATTCTTGGCTGCCCTTATCATGTTTGAGAGTTGTTATAGCACTCAGAAAGAATTATAGGTATCCTTGATCAAGAAACAACAACAAAAGCTCTTAGGAAGATATGTATCCTGTAAGACTTTGCAGGAGCTTAATCTGTTTTTTAAGCAGGTGGCTACATTTTCATTTGAAAACCATAGTTAAAAATTATTAAATTCATCTGTTAATAACCTTAATTTCACCTTGATTTTGTTTCTGAAACAAATCCAGTTAACAACTTTAGGTACTTTAGTAGGGGTAGAAAAATTCTTCAGCAATAGTACCACCACAGTTTTTGGAGCTGTTTGGTAGAAACAACATATTACAAGGGGAGGTCTATACTCTGCACCTACATAGACTTCCTATTTGTGTGGGGTAGGTACGTCTGCACTCTTTACCTCTGACGTTCTTTCTAGTGTGACTTTTTTGGCATGCTTCCTCGTATTGTTCCTCCATCTCATCAGTTATTCATAAAACACTCTGCAAAATGTAAATCACAATATCCTGGTATGGAGGGGTGCTGAAATAAGGCATTCAACTGTTGTGACTATGGTACTGATCACTGTTGCGCCAAACCACTGCCAAATAATTAGCAGATATTTGAAGTCCCTTCAAATAGAAGTCTACCATGCATCCAAGCAACAGCCTAGGAAACTACTTGCTTTGTGGTGATAAAATATCATTGTTTTTTGGGTTTTTTTTAAATCACAGATTTACTGGAAAACAGGATATTCATCTTAAAACACAGTTTAAGTATAAACAAGTTCCAGGAATTGTCATTGTTTACAGTCACATGTTATTCTGAGCTGAAGCAGAAAAGTGGTGACTGCAGGAGCAGTGTCATCTGGAATGACCCATTCCTGCAGTTGCAGAGCACTTCGAAATAGCTCATTGGCTGTGCCAACACTCGTGCTGAGTCAGTGATGATTTTCTCTTGAGGTATGGAAAATATAAGATAGTAAGAACTCAAGTTTTTGATCGAGGCTATCACTTGCATGTACAGATTGAGGAACAGCCACAATGCTGTCTGTTACACTGAACTATTTGGGCATTGCCTAAGGCATTTACAGTTGATATGCTGAAAGCTTTCAAAGATGATTGTCCTGGAGCTTGGACTTTCACATGTGTTGAGCAATTTTGCAAAAACCAAATGTAACTGAAGTTATAGAAAAACAAATAATCATCTGATGAAGAAGCAGCCAAGTTTTTGAGGGGAATAGAGTGCAAGGGAGTCTCTTACAAACTCTGACTTTCTGTTGAAGGAAAGCTTAATGGTAGTCTAAGAGTTTTATGTGTTTGTTTTCCCCTACTCTCTCCTAGACGGAGTTTGACTTTGCCAAGCAAAATACACCTAAATAGACACTATCTGAAGCTGTGACTCCTGAATATTCAAGCCCGAATATTCTAATTCTCATCAGTGGAAGACTAGGGTTACTGCAGCTAGCATGTCACTAGGAACAGGTGATGGTAACAGAGTGTGCATGAGGGCTGAGAGAATTTTAGCAGTATTCTATCACACAGTGGAAACCAGCAGAGTTGTGCCTCTCAGGAAATGCAAATATAAAAATAACCATTACTGGCTCCAAATGAGCAAAGACTACTTGAATGTGTTTATTAGTGATGTGTAACTATTTCCTTGTTTAATAAAACAGGTTTTTGTATCAGAGAGCAAGGCATCAGCCTCTCAAGATGTTGACAATTTCTACAACTTTGCTGACATGCAGATGGGAATGTGAAGTTTAACATGAAGGTGTTCACATACGGTTTGTCTCAGCACGTGGATGTCACTCGGCTTGAATGTTGCGGTAGTATCTAAGAAGTTTTGTCATTTGGTTTTGTATTTCTTATATATCCTTTTATAAAGCTATTGCTGGTTTTCATACCAACATTACCTGAACTGGAGTAAATGGCATAGCTTCCCATGTGTGTTGTGTTTTAAACTTACATTTCAACTCCAGAAACAATGGAGGTTTTCTACTAACTTTTTACAGTGTTTTCTAAACTTCTGTTGACACGTGAATACTTCTTATCAACATCTAATGGTAATACATATTCGAAAATTGTAATGCTCATACACACTTGATGCAGTAGTAATTGTTATCTTTAATGTAGACACATTGTTTAGAAAGTGCATTTATGTGAAACTCACTGCTGAAAACTCCAATATGCAAATTTGTCTTCACCAGGGGCCAGGGAGGAAGCTATAGTCGTTGACTTTTTCTGATTGCCTAGTCTGAAATGAATTCTCCTTATAGCATGCTTTCAGAAGCAGTGCGTGACTTATAAAATGTGCATCTGGCTTATTCTGCTTCAGCATCTTTTTTGAATAGTTTGTGGCATTATTTATGCCGAGAGCTGTCGTAACAGTGTTGTGGTAAGTGAGCACTCGCCAGGCTCTTCTGCTTTGAGATGAATTCTGAGCATGAGTGCTTCACTGAAGGTGCTCTAAGGTCCACTCAGGGTCTCTGGCGATACAGCTGCCTCCAGTATGCCCAAGCCATGGATGGGACATACATGAGGTTCCCTTGGACTTGGAGCATTAAGTTTCTGGTGCTGTTGTTGTTTGCTAGAAGGGCCATATAGCAACCAGGAGTCAGAGAAGGGCTCTGATGGCATTAAAAGAGCTCTTCCTTGCTAGACTCCCAGTGGAAGGGTGTTACACTTGGTAGTAGTACTGAAAATTTGGCTGCAAAGTACTACATGCTGCTGAAGGCTTTATTTTGTGTTAATTCTTAAAACAGACCCAAGAAGTGCTACTAGCATTTTGGGAGATGCATTTGTTCTGTAAGGATGCTTATTGCTATATAGTACATATTAGAATGCAAATCTATATGGATATTAAATACATGATTGATTTATTTTTGTACATTACATCCTTACTGATTTTTCTACATGTACGTAAAGCTTACGTCCAGGTTTACAAGCCCCCTGTAGTACTTGAACAGTTTGCATGTGCAAACACACAAAACCAAATTTCTTAATTAAAATAGTAGCTTGCCAGTTTATGTAGCCTATACAATCCATTGAATGGACTGGGGCTCTGTTGAGGTGCTAAAGCAATAATTTCTTCATTATGGTCATCTGTCACAAGGGAAGATCTTGTGCATCTAAACTGAAAATGAGTTTCAACTCCTCAGTTTGTGCTCAAGCTCCAGAAGTGCGTGGCTAAAACCACATCTCTCTAATTTTTTAGAATTAGCACATGAAAAAATGTGTTCTCCAGAAATCTGTGATTCTGTCAATGCCCAAGAGATGTTCTGAGCTGTCATTTTATTGCTACTAGGCAAATGCTTGCCATTAGTTTACACTATGTATCAAGAGTATGTCCTTGGGACCTCTTGTTGATGTTATGCATAGATGAAATAAGGAAGAATATCTCCTGAAGTAGATATGCCATTGGTGTACTGAGGGTAAGAAAAATGCTGTTTCTGTGAGATGCTTTTATTTGACAAAACAAAATAAAATCAAACAGCCACCAGAATTTGACTGGTAGCAGAAATTACCACTTACTTGCCCTTAGCTAGCCAGGATTTCATTTTCTTTATATATGTGTGAGGAGAGGCTGTGAAAATACCTAAAAATCTTAGATCAGTCTCCAAAGTACTAGCACAACTCAACAAACACTTGCTGGAATTAATCTAGACACATACAGTAAATGTATTTTTTTCATATGGACAGAATATTGTGTCATGTACTTCAGAACTATCATTGTGTAAGTTGTCTAAGCAGTGCATATTGGATCATCTTGGTCTCTAAATCTGTACATAAAATACTTCCAAACTTATACGCGGACACATGGTTATATGTGTGTTCATAGTTTATTTTTTGTATCATCAACCTGCTTTGTTAAAAACATGCTGAATTGATTTTTTGTGACTACTTTTGCTGGGGGACAGGATGATCAGTTGAAAATTAATCTAGGCTAGAGTCAGTGGACAAACTTTTTAAATGCTAGGAAAGAGCAGATATTGCTTTTTTCACTTTTTTTACCTTGGTAGCCTGCTTACCAATCTAAAGAGTTTTTAATAAAAACACCCTAAATAATGAAGGACTTTCTCAATCCAATTATTTATCTTTTGATTTCAGTTTCTTGCTAAAGGTGTTAAGAACACTTCTAGCTTAAGCATCAGGTATTGTATGCATTACAGAATGGTATGTGCTCCATGTAGTCTTTGTATGTTTGTTGTATAGCTTTTTATGTAATTTGTATTGCACTGTGAATGTGATTCATAATAAACATTGTACATCTAAACTCTGGATTCTGGAAGACTTTTTAAAACTAAAAATATTGCGAGCCATAATTACATTATATTAAGTATAAAAATTGAAATCTGTGTTTAAATAGGGACTTCAAATAGATACTCACAACTAATTGAAAATAAGCATTAACTCTGCAGTCAGCCATCCTCCAAAAAAGGTGAATTCTTGACAGCAGGGATGTTTCTCCAGAGTCACTGAGGATGTGATTAACTTTACACTGCATTTTTTCCTAATAAAATATGAAAGAAGGGATTCAGATATCAAGCTGTAGAGATACAAGTGGAGAGATTCCAGGATGGAGACTGTTAAAGTGCTTCTTCCTGATCTGTGTGTGCATGGAGTTGTTTCTTTTTGGTTTGTTTTCTAACTTGTAAAAGTCTCTTGCTTTCTAACCATGCTTACTTCTTTGGGTACTAAATGCGTGTGAGCAATGTGCTCACAGCAAAAACAGGTTGTGGTGGTTATACTGGTAGAACTGTTTATTTAGAATGCAGTTCGTCTGTATATCCCATTTAGCATCTGAAAACAGGTTAAAAATCCCAAAACCAGGTAAACATTAAATACATTCCCAAACTCAGCTTTAAAATCTTCCATCTAGAGGTGGTCTAGGGTAATTTTATCATAGAATCACAGAATGGTTTGGATTAGAAGGGGCCTTACAGTCATCTCGTTCCACCCTCTCTGTCATGGGCAGGGACACCTTCCTCTAGACCAGTCAGGTTGCTCAGACCCTGTCCAACCTGGCCTTGAACACTGCCAGGAGTGGGGCATCCACAGCTTCTCTGGGCAACCTGTTCCAGTGCCTCAACACCCTCATAGTAAAGAGTTTCTTCTTTATATATAACCTAAATCTCCCCTGATTAAGTTTGAACCCATTCCCTCCTATCGCTACAGTCCCTAATGAAGAGTCCCTCCCCAACATCTTTATAGGCCCCCTTCAGATATTGGAAGGCTGCTATGAGGTCTCCATGCAGCCTTCTCCAGGCCCAACCGCCCCAAATTCCTCAGCCTGTCTTCATACGGGAGGTGCTCCAGCCCCCTGATCATCCTCGTGGCCTCCTCTGGACTTGCTCCATCCAAAAGCTCCATGTCCTTTTTATGTTGAGGACACCAGAACTGGACACAATACTCCAAGTGAGGTCTCACAAGAGCAGAGTAGAGGGGCAGGATCACCTCCTTTGACCTGCTGGTCACGCTTCTTTTGATGCAGCCCCGGATACGGTTGTCTTTCTGGGCTGCAAGCGCACACTGAAGCCGGCTCATGTTCAGTTTCTTGGCGACCAAGATCCCCAAATCCTTCTTCACAGAAGTTCACCTCATGAACTTGCATGAAGTGTAAATGTTTGCTAAGAACATGAAGTCCTGTGTCAATATAATTTTCTTTTGAATATCTTGAGTTAAATTGTGAGGCTTTAAAGAATCAAGCCTTTGGTTTAAACTTAACTTACTGTACAATTTTACAGTTTAAAAATAATCTTATGCCCCAACTGGATCTGAGTTGCTTAATAATCTTTTTTTTTTTACATAGCATATAAGTAATAGCAAAGCTGCCTTAACTATTTTCACAATTTTTACCAGTCACATCCTCAAATGCTAACATGCAGAAGCTTTGTATCTGTGCCCCAATTGCTAGGAAGACACCCACTTTCTTGTATCGTACCTCATAGTCATGCATAAAATGCATGGATTTAAAAGTAAGCCACATGCCAGGCTGCACTTACATAACTGGGACAGATATTTTTTTCATTCCAAAAAGCAGCCGGAAACTTTTTATTACGAAATATGTGCTTCTGTCATTCTGACTAATAGGGGCAAAAAAAGAGTTTTACTGACTTGAGTGTGAGCAAGAACTCTGTTGCGGAATATTTCCTCTTAAATGCTGTCTTTTGAATGTTTAGGGTTTATTCATACAGCAGTCAGTTTTCTGTGCATATTTAAATGAGCGTTGCTGATAATATATTCTAGAAGGTATCGATTCCCCAGGCTTTTTGCCTAAAGATTTAATAGAAGCTGCTGTTAAATGAATCTTTCAAGACCTAGTAGTAGCCCAGATGCCTACCTGAGTAGTTCCTAAACTGTAGGATTTTTGCTATCAACTTCCTTGTTGATTCCTTAGCACCTTTGTGCCTTTTCTTTTTTGAAGTAATAAGTAAGCCTTCTGAATTCATAAGGGTGACAAAGGTCTTCAGAGGTTTGCAGGAACAGCTCTTCCAAGGCATGTTTAAACCTGACCTAAAATATGTACATCCTAGTCCAAGAGCACTAAAAGCTGTAAGTGATGCTTATAAGTACTGCCTCTAGCAGGGATGGATTTGAGTGGGATCATGCAAGCGGGCTGTAGCACTTCATTAAGTTGTGTATTGTAGGACTGCATTCTTGCTGCAGTATATACTGGAAGGAGGCTCTGCAGTGGTCCACCCTATTCCCTGGACCTGCAAAGCTTGCAGTAAAAGTTACAGCAATTTGCTGAGGATAGCAATTTCTGGAAAATAACAGCAACTCGCTGTACTGCCAGCCTGGAAGCTTTTCTTAAAACTATCTAGTGTGAGCTCTGTCTCTCAACACAACCACCTATGTGTGGGAAAACCTTACAAGCATCCAACCCCATAA